CGTCATTCAAAGTGCTTTACAGATAATGTCATTTAATGTTCAGACCTACTTCATGATTTAGGTATCAAAATTATTCTCATTTTCTAAGTGAGGAAACGGGAGCACAGAGACTCCTGAAGATGATAAGTGGCAGAGTCAGGACTCAACCCTGGCAGTCTGGCTCCTAGGCCACCCTATATTTATAATACTATAAAAAGATATCAGTTGAAAACATTGCTTCCAGAATGGTTCCAGCAAGCCCCTTTAACCAAGTTGCACGTACTGTTATGGTTTGGATGTGAGGTATCCCCCAAATGCTCACACATAAGACAATGCAAGTTTTGGAGGAGAAATGATCGGTTGCAGCCTTAACCTATTAGTGAATCAATCCCTCATGGGATTAACTGACTGGTAACTGGAGGCAGGTGGGGTGTGGCTGGAAAAAGTTCATTGGGGGCGTGGCTTTGGGGTATATATTTGTATCTGGCAAGTGGAGACCTCTCTCTGCATTCTGATCTCATGTGAGCTGCCTCCACCTGCCACACTCTTCAGCCATGAAGTTCTGCCTCACCTCAAGCCCTAAGGAATGGATCTGGCCTTCTATGGACTAAGACCTCTCAAACTGTGAGCCTTCAAATAAACTTTTCCTCCCCTAAACTTGCTCTAGTGAGATCCTTCAGTCACTGCATTGAAAAAGCTGACTAAGACACATTTAAGCTCTTCTTCTCAGACATTCTAGAGTTTCTGCAGAATCTACAAAGGCTCAGCAAGATTAAATCTGAAACAAAGCAAGGTTTCATATTTACCAGAAGGGACATACCATTAGAACCAACAAGTGAGGAGCAGGTTCCTGAGCACAGCTGACATGGATGAGATCTCAACTGGATGCCTATTCTGAGAGTCAGTTCTGATAACCATGAGGAAACAAGGATGCAGGGGCTGAGGCCTTAGACTTTTGTATTGTTTAGAATGAGAAATTAATGTACCCCAGTATTAGAAATTTTAGGATCCAAACACTTGCATATAAGTAGAAAAAATACAGAGACATAATATAAGTTTGTAATTAACTTTGGAATTTTTATTTTTTCAATGTAAGGGAGAAAGAAGTTCTTTTAGGAATTGCAGGAATTTCACATTCCCTCTACCCTGTCATTTAATTTTAGCACATCATTATTCAGGTCCCTGTTAGATGTCTCAGAAAGAAACCTGTTTTCTCTTTCTAGTTTTACTCTGTCACCTCCAGTTCCTTTGCACTCAGCTGTCATTGGAACTTGGTACTTTTTGACATTCTTCAGTGCTCTGCCCTGTATGGGACCCGGAACCACAATTTCTAGACTTTCTTGTCATCAGGTTCCAGGCACATTTTACATTATCATGAGAAGAATGCTCATGAGACTCTGTTCTGCAGTAGCAATGGCTGGATGCATGCCTAGGATACTCAGGTGAGGAGTTTTCAGTGGTCTCTGCATTTTCTTGACCCTTACACATCAGGGTGGGGGGAGGGGACTGTGGAAGACCTGTGGAGATGGCAGTATTTGCCTATATGTCCCTGCCTCAGTGACAGCAGCTTTCTGTTTCCTGTGGCAATAAACCTGAAAGCTATTTGCTGTCACCCTGATTTTCAACCTTTCAGATTTTAAAGTAGTTTTATAAGTATGACCAGAACTATAATCAGGGATTTTAACCCTGATTGGTGTTACTAAAAATGACATACAGAATCAGCCTACTAAAATCTCACTTATTTTGGATAAGTGAAACCAACTGGCTGGTTAAACAGAGAGCTAATATGAGTTACCCCACTGGAAGGTCTCAGTGTCTCACCTAACTCCCAGGCCTGCACTTATTCATAAGCCTAAAAATACAGGGAAGGCAGAAAGATCCAATGTTACAACGTTGTATGTGCCATGGATCTTCCTCCTACCTTTCAAAAGGGATCTTGGTCATTTATGAAGGTGACAATGCAATGGGAAAGAGAAATGCCCAATCCTTTCAGGCATTATCAGACACTGGCTGGATTGATGTTAACATCAGAGGATCTAAACCACCACCATGATCTACAAGTCAGAGTGGGGCTTATGAAATTTAGAAAACAAGTGGAGTCTTAGCCCAAGTTCATCTCCAGGCCCCAACTTTGAGTACTCCATACTTTAAGTGGGAACCCAAGAAAAGTAAGCCCATTTGCAATTTACTTTTGAAAAGATACAAAGTAATTTAAAATGAGACAAATCAGGTGGAATGTAATGATCATTACTATCCAAAGTACATGTATGCAGACATGAATTGGTTTGAATATACTATGTATACAACCAAAGATATGAAAAATTGTGCTATATATATATGTAATAAGAATTGTAAAGCATTCTGCTGTCATATATAAATAAAAAAATCACATAAAAAATAAATAAAACAATGAAAAAGAAAAAAAATGCGCTGTGCCAGGCAAATGATCTTCCAGGTTGTGACCTTTGTAGAATTTGACCTACAAAGGTTTGCCCCTTGCAGAATTCCTAGTGTTTATTTTCAGCTTTTACTTTTTCTTTGCTTTCCCTGGCACACAGTAGAAGCAAAATATATAATGAGTAAAATGTGTTCAACTAGAAAAAAAAAATAAAGCAGGCTCCATGGCAGGGATTGAGGTTATATAGGATTCAATAAAGTGGTCCAAAAACAGACTTCCACTACTGAGTGCCTAGCTAGCTAACAGCAGAAATCTGTGTTGACCTTGCTGTATGGCACCATTCCAGAGAGGTGTCAGGTTGACAACATTGAATCTCTTGCAATTTGAAGGGAGTAGTGATTTGTCCTCATTAAAATAGGTATTTGCCTTCCCTGCCCACAAAGCTTCCACTGGCACTGCTGTCATTGGAAGTATTTAATGCTTCATTTATCATCATGTATCCCTGACCACATCTTCTGACCAAGGAAATTATAATGACTGGGGGAAAAAAGGTCACAGAGATTTCCGTTTTCATTTTTAAAACAAGTAGAACTTCCACACAACATAATCCACAAATCTCATGTGCACATTTCAGTGAAGTTTTACACATGTATATATCCATGTAATCATTGCCCAGATAAAATATAGAACACTCTTATCCTCACCTGTGCTTTCTCCCAGTCAGTGTTTTCCCCAAAGACAGCTACTCTTCTGTCCTTTATCACAGTAGATTAACTTCACACGTGAATGTGAATGGAATTGTACAATATGTGCTCTGCTGCTTTGACTTTGTTTACTCAACACTGTACCTGTGAAATTTGTTAATGTTTTTTGCATGATTCAATAGTTCATTATTTTTTCACTATTAAGTAGTATGCCATTTTAGGGCTGTGTCATAATTTATTTACTTATTCTAAGTTTAAGCTCTCTTGGGTACTAAAATGCCAGCACCAAACTGTGTATTTCTCTCCCAGGAAATTAACTTTCCTGTTCCTTTATATATTGGAGAAGTGGCTTTTGCTTCTGCAGAAGTGAAAAAGCTGACGTGGTTTGTTGCTTTTATTGCTGTGTCATGTTGTGTAATAGAAAGTAAAATGACTATTATGGAAGGCTAGGTCAAGGTTATGGTTCCAGAAGCTCTCAAATCCTAATTATAGGAGTTTAAAGTTACAAGTTCAAACACCAGTGTTATTGTTATTAAAGAGCATCTGGGGAAATGGGCTACTTGCTATTCATCACCAAGGAAAGGCCGAGAGACTCAGAAGCTATGTTAGAGAAGGGGAGCAGGTGGAAGGGTGAGCAAATGTCCACTTTCCATTTTGAACTCAGGCTTCACCCAGAGCTGAGTAGATGCTTGACTTCATCATCTGTTAAGAATTTTTTGTTGTTGTTTTGGCGTTTTGTTTGTTTTTCTGGTACTGGGGATTGAACCCGGGGTGCTTAACCATTGAGCCACATCCCCGTCCCTTTTTATTTTTTTATTTTTTGAAACAGGATCTTGCTAAATTGCATAGGGCCTCAGTAAGTTTGAACTTGAGATCCTCCTGCCTCAGTCTCCAGAGTTGCTGGGATTAGAGGTGTGTGCCACTGCACTCAACTGTTGAAGTTTTTTAAATTGAAAAAGTATCAGGAGGCTTACTTATCTGAAGGGTCTACTTTCAGAATTTAAACCTAGTTAGATTTGTGTTTGATAAATATACCTATATCTGTGTAGAATAGGTTTCTCTCTGGATTTTTATAACTGTCAAGCATTTACTTGCTGAAGGCAGCAGTGGAACTTGGCTCATCTTTAAACACTTGCCCTTTACCAGTAAATATTCTTAGATATTCTTTACCAGTAAATATTCTCTGTTTCTGGGTCAGTTTACTGCAATTTGTTATTTATACCAAGATAGCATCTTGCTCACCTTTCTGTAGAGCTTGACTTTCAGGTCACTGTTACCAGAGAAGGGCTTGTGGACAGACTTGGATTCAATTATGTAAACTCTGTCTCATCTAGAAAATAGCGATAACATGTACTGGGCAGGATTATTGTTGGAAACAGCAGATACACAGTTAAGCACAAGGCTCAGCTGTGAACAGTAGTTCCTATTGTCTATTTCCTCTGTGAGTGAGATTAGGGGTTTTCCTACATTTAAAGCAGAGTAGCCTATAGTTAAGTAGGCATCAGACCATCTTTCAGGCTGTCAGTCAATCTGTATTAGTATTTTAATCTTGGAATAGAATCTTCAGTGCAAAGTTTCTATTTTAACAATCCAGATTCTTTTCTCCCTCCCTTGGAAATGTGGGTTCACATTGGATAGATACACAAATACATGCTTTATTGTAAAATAGAAGAAATAAAAGGTGTAAGAAGGAAAAAAAAGGATTTTTTAAGGCACTAATCCAAAATTCCAAATAATATTCTGGGTCTTTTTGAAACAAAGGATTTATTCTGGCCAGGGCCAAGGGAGCACAAAGCAGACAGTTTTGCAACCGAAATACTGAACATGGGTAAGGGGGCCACTTAAAAACAGAAAAAAAAACACAAATAAGGGGGGTGGGAGAGGCAAGTACAATCATAAGACACATTTCATATAGAGTTACCAAGTTCTCAGCATTGGCACATCCTGTACCTACTCAGGAAGTAAGCAACAGCTCCACAGTTTAAAGACATTGTGGTCCAGATGCAAGTGGATGAGGTAAAGATGTCAGCCTCAATGTAGTAGGCTCATGCAGAAAGGGGGGCCAGTTCTGCATAGGGTGAGATATCTGAGAAAGATGGCATCATCCCAATTTAACTTTCAAATCAGCCCATAACAGTATATTCTGATATCGGACTCTAATGAAGTTCAAACATCAAACTTTTATTTTATAATTAGTGCTTTTTGTTTTATGCTTAAATATCTTGGCCTACCTCAAGGTCATAAAGATATTTTCCTCACTAAATTATTTGGAGATAAATTATATTATATTCAAAAGCTCCTGAAATAACAATTGGTAAATAATACGCCCTGAAGTGGGGGGGAAAAAAAAAAAAACGAGAAAACTGAAAGAACAAATAGGAATGAATGCGCACATGGTCTCAATGATACATTCATGGTGTGCTTTTGTCTCTTGGAGATGGTGTGGTGGCTAAAATTTATAAGGATGATGGTTAATATTAATTAAGCACTTATTTTGTGACAGGCCCAGTGTGTGCATTTCACACATGCTAGTCCATTGTATCTCCTCAACAACAACCCTGTGGGGAAAGTGTCACTATTTCCATTTCACATACTAGGACAATAGAGGCGCAAAGAGGTTAAGTAACTACTCAAGGGAACACAGCAAAGTTAGGTCTCAATCTAGAATTTTTTCTCCAGGACTCCCTCCTACCCAAGCTTTCTTCCCCCAATATTTTCCATTATCCAATCCATGGCCACAGCCATCTTGTACTGTCATGGCCTCCTGGGTGGCTCCCTCAATGACCCACTCCATGGTTTCCTCCATGGCCTCCTCTGTGTTCAGGGCTATTGCTGTGGCCTCCTCCATAGCCATGACTCCCATTGTGGCTCATTCCATGACCATCTCTATCACCCATGCAGTATCCAATGCCATGTGCTCCTGCAGGTCCAATCCCAAGTCTGCTTCCAGGGTTCAGTTCATTTCCCAGGCTGTGGAATATTCCAGAGCCCATGCCTAAGTCCAGGTCCAGACTCAGGCCAAAGTTGTGATCATGGGGATAATAAGTACCTCTGTTTCTCACGGGGAAGTAAAAGTCCTTCTGAAAGAAAAAAAATTTAAAAATTAAGTACCATCTCTTATAATATACAAGCCTGTTTCACCAATGTGAGATTTTTATTTTTCAAAACTATGTCTTTTCTTACCATCATCCTTACTGTGCTTTCTCTCTCTTTTTGTTATTTCACTCTTATTCTCTCTGAGAAAACAATCTCCTGACACGATATTAACATACCCTCTTTATGTGCAGACTCAGGCCCTGGCTCAGCAGCAGCATGGTCAGGTTACGTGTTGTTGGACTTTCAAGACAAAGGTAAACCACATCCCTGTGTGAAAGGCACAGAGACCCACCTGAAAGACAGTCTTTCACTTTGTCAGCTAAGAAGTTGAGACAGGCCTTCAGAAAACTGTCCCTATACCATCTTCAGATCACAGGCATGAAATCCAGAACCAAATCAGCCTGGGCTAGGTTCCCAGATCTGTCACTCAGCACCTGTGCTGAGGCAGCTAATGGAGCTCCAGATCCGAATTGTAGAGCTGATTAAATGACAATGTACTTCAAACACGGCCCCAAGCCTCACACAAACAACTAATTAATGTCAGTTCTCATTACCATTTGACGTGGCATGTAAAATTTTAAAGTCATATAAGAAGTCATTTCTAGACAGTGTGAATTAATTTTGGAACTTAAATAGGGAGGGTGGCTGGGAATTCCCAAAAATTGACTACCATATGCCAACCTTTTGTTGGTATAATATGTTTTTTGTTTTTTGGGGGTATCAGGGATTGAACTCATGGGCACTCAACCATTAAGCCACATCCCCACTCCTATTTTGTATTTTATTTAGAAGCAGGATCTCACTGAGTTGCTTAGTGCCTCACCATTGCTGAGGCTGACTTGAACTTGTGGTCCTCCTGCTTTGGCCTCCTGAGCTGCAGGGATTATAGGTGTGCACCACCACACTCGGCTGTATAATATGTTTTTAATTTGTCATTTGGACCAGTGGTATCTTGGTCATCATTTAACAACTGAGAAAATGCTGTTTTGTAGTGTTTGTTAATTTCCATGATATAAATACTTCCACCAGAGAATATGTCAAGCTACCAATGTGAAGTCATTAAACTCAGAGTTGGAAAGAGATGCAGTGGTCCATAGGGGTCTCTTGTGGACCTATATGACTTGGACTCAGCTTGCCAGTTATTTATTCTCTGCTTTATTCTTCACATGTGAGCTTACTAACAAACTATAAGAAAAGAGAAAAAAATCATAAATGTAAGGCAAGTTTGAGAAAAATATGTGTTCAAAGAAAGATGAAGTTTTGAAAGCAGAGATGCAGTGGGAGATAAGAGAGTAACTACCACAAATCGAACAAGAAATAACAGAGTACTCATGAGTACCAGAAATTTATTAAAAAGCCAGACACAGTGGTGCATGCTTATAATCCTAGCATCTTGGGAGGCTGAGACAGAAGGATTATCAGTTCAAAGCCAGCCTCAGCAAAGGTGAGGCACCAAGCAACTTAGTGAGATAGTGAGACCCTGTCTCTAAATAAAATACAAAATAGGGCTGGGGATGTGGCTCAGTAGTTTAATCCCTGAGTTTAATCCTCAGTAGCAAAACAAAACAAAAACTTGGTAGATGTCACACAGTTGGAACCTGCACTTTTTTTTTTTTTTGGATGACTATTTCATCCAAAAAAAAATAGTGGTTACTATTGGTTCCTCTTAGTTATACATGACAGTAGAATCCATTTTGATACAATTATACAAGCATGAAATATATCTTATTCTAATTAGAACCCCATTCTTGTGGGTGGACACAATGGTGGGGATTCTCTTAGGTATTTTCATATGTGCACATAGGAAAAATATGTTAGATTTATTCTACTGTATTTCTTATTCCTACCCCTCTTCTCTTTGTTCCCCATTGTCTTATCTACAGAAAGGTTCTATCTTCCGCTTTACTGTGGTTTAGCTTCCATGTATCAGTGATAATATTTGACCTTTGGTGTTTTAAAATTGGCTTATTTCACTTAGTGTGATAGTCTCCAGATCCATCCATTTACTGGCAAATGTCATAAAGTCATTCTTACTTATGGCTAAGTAATATTTCATTGTGTATTTACATCACAATTTCTTTATCCATTCATTTGTTGAAGGACACCTAGGTTTGTTCCATAGCTTAGATGTTGTGAATTATGCTGCTATATACATTAATGTGGCTGTATCACTGCATATGCTGATTTTTTAATGTTTATTTCCATTTTTTTCTTCCTCAGTATTTAGTGAAATGTTTTGATGTTTCTAATCTACAGCTGTCCTAAGGAGAATCAAGAGAAGAGTATTCGTCTCTACTTGTGCAAGAGCATCCAAAGAGCAGTGTCCCATGGATAACAAGTGCTAAGATTTATAATAGAAATCAGTAAATAAAGCAACAACATAAAGATTCCTCAATTCCTGGAGATTCTTCTTCCAGGGCTAAAATATTCTGACTCCTAGATGATGTTGTTTCATTCAATCAATTTCCTTTCATTTTGACCCCAATTCATCTTTTTATTCTTCTTTTTACAACTTCAACTCTCACTCTCACTGATTTTCTCTGGTCTTTATATCATGATACATGATTTTTCTTCCTACACACCAACTTATTCTTCTGGATACTCCAAGCATTATTTACATGAATTCCATTGTTATTTATGATCTACTTCCTCATCAGACTCCCCAATTAACCCATCCTAGATACTCACCAGACAAAAGCAGAGTCCTATTAGCAGGACGATACCCATCACAACAGCAACCAGAGAAATGAGGATGATGGCCCAGGGCTGTAAATATCCACTTGGTTTGAACACATTTGTTGGAATGTGGCTCACGCTAATTTTATTTGTGCCCATGGACACTGAGCTTGTTGTACGGGAGGTGGCGCTGGCTCCAGGAATGACAGTTGAATCATGGATAGACACTCTGGTCGTCATGACACCTGGGACTGAGGAGGTAGATGATACTCCAAGAGTGGATGCAGCCAGGCCAGAGGTATTCAGGGATATTCCAGGCAATGCATTGCTGGTAGCAAAGGTCGTGGGTTTTCTTACAGGAGCCGTGGTGACAGAAATGTGGGTGGTTGGTCTGGTCCTGGTGCCTGGGAAATGGGTTAATCAAGATGATGTATTTATAATGGAGACATTTAAAGGGGATGTGGGTGTCCTTAGAGCCAAGGAGGTCTAATCTAACATGGCTCTGGTGGTGGTGGTGGTTTGAAGAAAGGGTTGTGGGGAAGGAGAGATGATAGGAAGTAGTTCTCTGTGGCTATGGTCCCCAGAATAGAGGTCAGCATTTTAGAGAAGAGGATGTACAATATATTCATAGAATATATGAATATATTCACAGGTTAGGCTGGACAGAATAGGTTACATTCATAGATGGTGCTGGTGATGGAGGAGTTAGAAGGTTTAGGAGATGACTGTGATTGTTGCAGAAGAAAGTCTAGTCAACTTAAAAAGTAGTCACCCAAAGACAGTAGGTAGACTGGGGAAAAAAAGTGGTAGGTCATTGTTCTCTTGTGTTGTGGTTACTGGGTATATGGAGGATGTGAGAGGAGGAGATGAAGTGGTCAGATTTGTTCATAGCCATGTTGTGACAACGGCTAGGAGCAGAGGTGACATCATCTAACACAATTCTGGTTAACAAAGTAGAGGTAAGTGTGCTTGGAACAGATGTGGAAGAACCTGACTCATGAGGAGGTTAACCACAGAGACGGGAGAAGGTGAACTCAGACAAGAGGACAGACTCCAATTTGACAGAGGCAGTGATGGTAATGGCTTAGCTAGCAACAGATGTGACTAGATCAGAAATGATTAAAATGATACACAAGTCACTGGTGAGTGTGCTCAGAACAGGAGGACAGACTGAAACCCAACACCAATGTTGGTGGCAAGGGCAGATGTGGTCTTATTCAGATCAAGAGCCAGAGGATGAAATATTAACTTTGGTTTTATCATAGAGTAAGATTTGGCAAACTTTCTCTGCAAAGCGCCAGCTAGTAAATATTCCAGTTCATTGGGGGATATGACTGTTGAAACTACACTAAAGAACTGGATAACAGTTGGAAACAATATGCAAATGAACATGAGCACATTCCAGTAAAACTTGATTTACCAAAACATGATAGCTGGTGAGACTTGACCCATGAAGTATGGTTTACCAAACTCTGGACAAGGGAACAATGTGTGGAACATGATGTGTGGTGTCACAGGTTAGGCTGGACAGAATAGGTTACACTTGGAATAGACATGAGAGTATCTAACAAAACTGGGAGGGTTGTCCACAGAGTTGAGGTGGGTTTTCTAGAGGCAGAAGTTAAAGAATATTACTTGTCCTAGGGTGGAGTAGCAGATGGGGATATATGCAAATAAACATTTCTGATTAGAATGAAAGGAGCTGAAACTAAATGAAGCAGAATAAAGCCAGCTTGGAAGTAAGGGAGATTCAAGGAGAGGAAATAATATATATCTGTTGTGCTGGCTTGACTACAGGCTAGTGCAGAGAAAAGAGAAACAGGCGAGAAGGTGGTGGTTGACAGTGGTTACATACCTTTGGAGGAGATAGAAGTGGTCTCAGAGACTGCAGTAGAGGCTCTGGTGATTTCTGGGCTCATGGTAGATTTTGGCATGGACACTGATATGCCTGTGATGGAGGAAGTAGTGGACACAGAGTCCCTTGTAGAGAACATGGTGCTTTTAGAGTCTGAGTTGCTCTCAAAGACAGTGGTGGACAATGTGCTAGACACTGTCACAGTGGGAGAGATTTCAGATCCTGTGGTGGAGCACTTTGTGGTCACAGACTCTGCAGCGGTTCCAATAGTGGAAGCTGTAGTGGTCTCTGAGACTCCAGTGCTTTTGGAGACTGTAGAAAGGATAGTAGTGGGCTTTTGGTTTTTGGTGGCTGTGGAGGGCACATCCTCTGCAGTTGTTAGTGATGTTTGAGTGGAAACTGCAGCTGCCTCAGAGACTGTGGTGACAGCTGTTGGAGTCTCAGAGTCAATAGTAGAGGTCATGGGGCGTTCAGAAGGTGCTGGGTTCCTTGAGTCTATGGTGGGAGCTGTGGTCAGAACAGGCATTTTGGTGGAGAATGTGGGGACCTCAGGAGCTGTGGAGGAAGGTGTGTTGGTGTCAGAGCCTGTGTGGGTCTTAGCAGTCACCGTGAAGACTGTGTTGGGTTCAGAAAGTACTGTGGAAGTGCTAGTGTTCTCAGAGATTGTGGAGGAAGTTACTGTGGGCACAGATGTTATGGTGGAGGGCATAGAGGTTTCAGATGCCGTGTTAGCGTTTGTGGTCATTTCAATGTCTATAGAAGCCTCGGAGTCTGTAGTGGATTCATTAGGATGTGTGGGTTTTGTGAAGGACACAGTCTCTATAGTTGTCCCAGAGGATGTCACAGATGGCATGGTGAATTGAGAGTTGGTGGTGGAAGGTTGAAGGGTCTCAAAGGCTGTGTTCTTAGAACTTGAGGTGGAGGCTATAGAGGAAACAGACATTACTGTGGAAGACATGGTCGTCTCAGAGACTATGGTGGAGACAACAGTAGGCTCAGAAGCTGAGGTCATCTCTGAGGCTGTGCTGGAAATTGTGTTTGGTACAGATGTTGTGGTGGAAGATGTGTGCATTTCAGAGGCAATGGCAGAAGCTTTTGTGGTCGCAGAGTTTATAGTGGTCTCTGAGTCTTTGGTAGAGGCTTTGGCAGTTTCAGAGACTGGGGTAGAGGCACTGTAGGGGACAGAAATTGTCATTGTGGCCTCTGAAGTCACCACATCCTTTGTGGTAGAGAGTGAGGTGGTCTTAGAGACGATGGTGGCACTCGGGGACACAAAGTCTACGGTGGTCTGTGAATCCATGGTGGAAGTTGTGATGATCTCAGGACCTGTGGCAGTTTCAGAAGTCATGAAGTCTGTGGTGGGAACAAGTGCTGTGGAAGTTGTGGCAGATTTGTATGCTGTGGTAGACAGTGAGGTGATCTCAGATGTTGTAGTGGAAGCAGAGGTAGATGCAGAGCCTGTGGTTGTCTCAGAGCCTGGGGTGGTTTCAGAGGCTGTGGACACAGATGTGATTGTACTCTCAGGAGGTGTTGTAGTGTCTGTGAAAGACACAGACTGTCCACCTGTCCCAGAGACTTTCATGGAGACTGCTGTGGTCTCTGGGGTTGTGATAAAGGCCTGGTGTGTCCCAGATGTTGGGATGGACATTATAATGGACTCAGTGGGGGTAATTGTGGAAGTATTTGTGGTCTCAGAGGCTGTTGTGTCCTTAGAGCCTGTGATGAAAGCTGTGGTGGGCATAGATGTGGCAGTAGAGGACATGGCAGTCTCAGAGACTATGGTGGAGGCTAAGACAGACTCAGAGATTGGAGTAGAGATTTTCGTGGTCAGAGGTGCTGTACTGGAAAACTCAGAATCTGTTTTGGAGGATGAGATGGTTTTAGACATTGTGATGGAAGGTGTGGCGATCTCAGAGACTATTGCAGAGGTTGTAGTGGGTACAGATGTTGTAGTGGGCTTATCAAGCATTGTGATATTTGTGGAGGGTACTGACCCTGAAGTTATCTCAGAGGCTTCAGTAGAGAATGACATGGTCTCAGAGTCTGTGGTGGAAGTTATGGTGGACACCAGTGTCATAGTGGAGTCCCCGAGGGTCTCAGAGATTGTGGGAGATTCTGAGGTTGTTTCAGAATTAATAATTGTCTCAGAGGCTATGCTGGAGGATGGTGGTGACACAGACATTATGGTGGAAGCTGTGATGACCTCAGAATCTCTGCTGGAAGCTGTGGTCTCAGAGACTGTGGTGAAGACTGTGGTAGGCAAAGATGTTATTATGGAGGAAGAGTTTGCCACAGATGCTGTGGGAACTGTGGTGGTCTCAGAGCCTGTAGTGGTTCCAGAGGTTGTGGCAAAGACTGTCTCAGATGTTTTAGTAGAGGATGTTGTAGTCTCAGAGGCTGTGGTGGAGGTCAGGGTGGGCACAGACATTATCACGGAGGACATTGTGACCTCGGACACTGTCGTGGAGGCTTTAGTGGGCACAGATGCTGTGGTAGAGAACAAGGTAATATCAGAAGTTTTAGTGGAGACTTTGGTGGATTCAGAGCCTGAGGTGGTCTTAGAGACTGTGGTGGAGGTCAGCGTGGGCACAGATATTGTTGTGGAGGGTGTGGTGACTTCATAAATTCTAGTGGATGCTTCAGTTAGTACAGATGCTATGGTGGATCTCCTTGGGGTCACAGACTCTGTAGGTGTCTGTGAGACTCTGTTGGAGGCTCTAGAGGTCTCGGGGCCTACAGTGGTGATGACTGTGATGGGCACCGATGTTTTGGTGTTCTCAAAAGGTGTTTCAGTGGCTACGGAGGACACAGGCTCTCTGGATGTCCCAGAGCCTTTAGTGGAGGCTGTCATTGTCTTGGAGAATGTCACAGATGCCGCAGCAGTCTCCGAGTTTGTGGTAGAAACCACAAGGATCTCAGAGACTGTGTTCTTAGAGCCTGAGGTAGAGGCTGTGGTGGGGACAGATGCTATTGTGGTTTCAGAAACTAGAGCGGGGGCCACAGTAGACTCAGAAGCTGAGGTGGTCTCAGAGGCTGTGCTGGAGATTGTGGTCTGCACAGACATTGTGGTAAGGGGTGTGAGCAAATCAGAGGCAGTGGTAGAAGTTTTTGTGGCCTCAGAGTTTGCAGTGGTGTCTGAGTCTTTGATGGAGACTTTGGCAGTTTCAGAGGTTGAGGTGGAAGCCCTGAAGGGAACAGAAGTTGTCATTGTGGCAGTGGTGACCCCCAAAGCTGTGGTGAATGCTGTGGGGGTAATAGTTGTTGCATTGGAGAGTAAAGTGGTCTCAGAGGCTGTGGTAGAGCCCCTTGGAGATGCAGACTCTGTGATGGTCTGTGAGGCTGTGATAGGTGCTATTGTGATCTCAGAGCCTGCGTTGGTTTCTGAAGTGTTGATTAAGTTTGTGGCAGACAGAGAAGCTGTGGAAGGCCGGTCTGCTGTGGTCAGTGAGGTGACCTCAGATGTTGTAGTGGAAACTCTAGTACTGGATTCAGATCCTGTGATAGTTTTGGAGGTTATGGTAGAAACTCTGTAGGGTACAGATGGTTTGGTGGTCTCCACAGGTTTTAGGATTGCTGCAGATTTAGAAATCAACATTATTCCTTTTCTTCTACTATACATCATCTATATGTCCTTGTAGTCTGATAGCTTATTATTAAAATATGTATGTCCCTCTTTTATATTGAAGTATGTTTTCTCCCCTTCATCTGTGATTTCTTTTCCTCTGTTAGTTATTTTTTTTTAATAGTTTGCTCAGGTAATCACACTGTCTTTGATTCCCTATTTCGCTTTCCTAAAAAATCTTTATTTTGGCATAATCTCATTCTCATCAAATTTTAAAATGTAGTTCAACACAAAAACTGGTATGTTGGGCTGGGGTTATAGCTCAGCAGTAAAGAACTTGCCTAGCATGCGTGAAGCCCTGGGTTCCATCCTCAGCACCACATTAATAAATAAAAATAAAGATATTGTGTCCATCTAAAAAAATTGTTTTAAATTGATATGTTAATGTTCTTAGAGGTGTTATATAATAACTGGAAACACTGTCCTTGCACTGGTGAGTGGGTAAGCACACTATGATATATCCAGACCATGGTAAACTCTTCTAGAACTACTGATGCATTGAGAACTTGGATGACTCTTAAACACATTTTTTTCTGTGTGAGAGAGGCCAGACTCAAAAGTCTATGTATTATAGGATCCCATTTACATGACATTCTAGAAATGCCAAAGCCTTTCTGTGTGTTTGGGACACAGAACACATCATTGGTTTCCAGGAACTCAGTAGGGGAAAGACTGAGTACATAAGATCATGAAGGAGCTTTGGGGGATGATTGAAATGTTTTGCATTTTGAGTGTAATGGTGGTGGCTATACGACTGGATATTTGTCAAGATTCAAGGACTACATAGCAAAAAGTGGAAATATTATTATATGAAAATGATATATTAATGTAAAAACTATTAATGTTCAGTAGGTAACTGAAAAAGATAATTAAATATTGCACATTGGTTTTTTTCTTTGTTCTAGATAATGTCTTAGGAGAAAGAAATTTTGATTACTAGAAATGTTATAACGATAATGGCATCTACACAAGATTATCATAAGTGGGTGTTTTTGATTAGTTGGAATTAAGATAAGATGTGCCAATAATTTTAGTTAGTTATGACTCATGTTTGGGAGTAAATCACTTTTGAGAGATGCTTGGTAGACAGTCTTACATGGATAAGTCCTACCCTTAGATTCCATGTTTTATACATGGCCAAATTTTCTAGAACTTTTTAAGTAATGGAATTTATTGCCTTTTTCTTTTTTCTTTTCTTTTTTTTTTTTTTTGGAGGGGGGGAGCACCTTGAGAGAAGGTGACACATAAGAAAAACTATTCTTTAGTGATACAAAATAAATTATGTGTAGGATAGATCCTTGCATCTGATTATTTGAAGGCTTTTCTGTGTTTCAGTTTTCCAAAAATGATCTAATAGACCAGAGTAAGTAGTGGAGATGGATTTTCAGGTTTAGAATAGTGTTGCTTTACTACATACCAGTACTGTTTATTCATTTATGCAGAAATATTGAATGCTTAATATCACCTGGAATTTTGCCAAACTCTGAATATACCCCTGTCAATAAGAGATATGGGCTTATAATATTATAAGATAGGGTTTACATTCTAGTGAAGAAGAAAGAAAAATGTGTAAAGAATAGAAATACACATTGGATTGCTATTAAGGAGAGTAGGGGGTCTTTCTTTAGATGATAGAATCAGGAAAGTTCTCTTTGGAGGAGCAGACATATTATCTGTGATCTGAAGGGTAAGGAGGCAGGCCAGAGAAAGGATGTTACAGAACAATGGCACAACAAGTGCAAATTCCCTAAGTTCTTTTTTTTTTTTTTTTAAGAGAGAGTGAGAGAGGAGAGAGAGAGATAGAGAGAATTTTTTTTTTAATATTTATTTTTTAGTTCTCGGCGGACACAACATCTTTGTTGGTATGTGGTGCTGAGGATCGAACCTGGGCCGCACGCATGCCAGGCGAGCGCGCTACCGCTTGAGCCACATCCCCAGCCCCTCCCTAAGTTCTTAATGAGTTTGATGTGATCTAAGAAATGATAGGAAAACTAGATGACTGGAATGTGTTAGGTTAGAGGAGAAAATTATCAAGAAACAAGGTTAACAATGGATATATAGCTCATGATAAAGAAGCTAAATTTCATTTCAAATGCAATAAGGAAATTTTGTAGTAACATAACATATCTGATTAATTTTTCTTAAATTGTTTTTATTTTGAAGAAATCAACAAATTCTTTTTGTGATTAAACAGCATTTAAGTAGGGCTTTGCTTTTAAAAAAAAGTGCCAATCTCTTTTCATTGGAATTTTGGACCATTTATATTTAGTGTCATTATCAAATGTTGAGTTTAATTCTATCATCTTGATACTTGTTTTCTATTTGTCACATCTGTTCTTTAATAAATTTCCTCCTTTTCCTCTTTTCTTCTGGATGATCTCATTTCTTCAACTATTGGTTTATTAGATATCCTTCTTATTTTTTGTGTGCTATTGTTTTAAGATTTACAATATACATCTTTATCACAGCTTAACTCCTACTAATATTATACCTCTTCACATAAGTCATAAATGTCTATTTCCTCTTCTGCCTCTTGTGCCACCATTATCATATATCTTATAATATCCACAATTCATTGTTATTGCATCATATTACTTTTTAAAGAGAATTAAAGTGAGAAAAACATTTTTTATTTCTACCTATGAGGCTTCCATTTCTCATACATTTCATTCATTTGCATATATCCAAAGTTCTTCATGATGAAAAAATTTTTTTTACATTTTTTGCAATATAGGTCTTCAAGTTATAAAGTCTTTTAGCTTTTGTTGGTCTGAGAAAAGCCCTTATTTTAGAAAGCATTTTTGTTTTATGCCAGGAATTTAACTCAGGGATGCTTAACCAGTGAGTAACATGTCCACCCTTTTTTGGGGGGAGGGGGGAACCAGAGATTGAACTCAGGGGTACTCAACTAGAGAGCCACATCTCCAGCCCTATTTTATATTTTATTTAGAGACAGGGTCTTAATAAGTTGCTTAGTACCTCATCATTGCTGAGGCTGGTTTTGAACTCATGATCCTCTTGCCTCAACCTCCTGAGCTCCTGGGATTACAGGAGTGTGCCACTGCACCCAGCTACATGGCCACACATTTTTTATTTTTTTATTTTGAGACATGGTCTCGCTAAGCTGCTTACAGCATCACTAAGTTGCTGAGGCTGGCTTTGAGCTTGTGATCTCTTGCCTCAGCCTCTTGAGTCACTAGGATTACAGACTTGCACCATCATACTCATCCAGAAAGATATTTTTACTCAGTATAATTCTAGGTTAATAGGAGTTTTTTCCCCACTTCAGTGTCTTAATGATTTTTTTCATCATCTTCTGGATTGCATGGTTTCTCAAGAGAAATGTGCTGTAATTCTTGTCTTTTTTCCACTCTATGTAGTGTGTTTTTTCTTCTCTGTCTCCTTTTGGAATTTCCTGTTTATTACTCATTTTTAGCAATTTAATAACATTGTGTCTTGTTATGAATTTTTAAAATTAGATATTTATGATAGATATTTAAAATTAGATATACACAGTAGTTGGTTTCATCCTGACAAACTCAGACGTGCATAGGAATTAATTTCAGTTCATGATCTTCTTTACCCTTCCCTCCTCCCCCCTTCTCCCTCCTGTACTCTACTGGATTTTTTTTTTTTTTTCTCATCTATTAATTTGTATTTGATTGGTTATAAGGCACTCAAAAACCTTAACACCAAGACAACAAATTATCCAATCAATAAATGGGCCAAGGAATTGAAAAGACACTTCTCAGAAGGGGATATACAATCAATAAACAAACATATGAAAAAATATTCAACACCTCTAG